GGAGACATTAAAGGATATGGCGACTGACCGACAGCAGTGGCGCTCTTGTTGTCATTTCTCAACAAGGCAGAATACTTGAAAAAAGGTATGCATGAACACTTAGATTGTGTGCTCTGTGTTAAACATAGAGGTTATTTTTCTGTCTCCCTCCAAGTAGGCCCAATCCCTCTCCATATTGTGCTTTATCACTTGATTTGCGTCCATTGTGAACTTGGCAGCGATCAGTGAAGCGAGCTTCACTGTATCTCGCTGTATGATGATGATGATGATGATGATCACCCGTCACCATGGGACCGACAAGGTAAAATGTCTTATGTGACTTGTAGATTTTAAGAAACGACACTGGATACGTGCTTTTGCATCAGTTGACGCGTATAAGCGACAAACAAAAAACACTTAATGTGTTGCTTAAATTAACTCTATCGCATTTCATGAAGCATTAACGCCAATTTTAGAGAGTATCAGCAAAAGACTCACATATCGAATATTTTCGGTCAAAAAAAGAGTGTAGATACACGAAAATCCTATTTGGGTGATCAGAAGGAATACATTAACCGTATGCCTGAAACAAAGGTAAGATAAGATCAACGCCTCCAACTTGATTTTTCCTTTCCATTTTCTCAAAGGTGGCGGCCCATACTTCAGAACATTAAAGACGGTCTCAGGATAGTCCATTTTGGATCTGTCTAAGCCATATCTAAGTTGAAATTTTCACTTAAGACGAATATCTCAAACGTGAACTCACTGCTTTCCAACTGATCTTGAGACACGCACAAGTACTCTCATTAAGTAGGTAGCAATAACACCGGCTATCACGATTGAGCAAAGTCCGGCCTAAGGTAAAAATAGTGGAGAAGTAATACTTTCTGGTACATACCCAAAGACCGGAATATCTTAAAACTACTGGTAAGGAAAGCATACCTGTGCCTATATTGCCCTTGATGAAGCTCATGAGAGTTTGGGAATCACTGGAATAAAGGCTAGTGTAAATGGTATGGAATAATTCACCTCAGTTTAGAGTCTTTGCTATGAAACTCTTCCGCCTCAAATCCTGTTCCATTAGTCACGTTTTCCGGAGCGACAACAATATCATCCGATAAATGCAGTTCCTCAAACTCGATCACCGACGCCTTTTCGGAGTTCTCTTTTGTTCTCATTACGGAGAGAAATCCTGAAACAGTAATGAGCACATTATTGTGAGGTTCACGGTGACGTCAAGTACTAACCGTACAGAAATAACGACTGAATCCCAGCCGTTCGGTGGATAGTTGGCGAATTTCAGATTCCAGCCACGGCACTTAAAGATAAGACACAGAAGGAGAAAACACGAGCTGAAGAAAATAGTAGTAAAAGTAACATGAATCAGATGAAGCGAAAACCTAAAATCAGCGGGAAAATACGTTTTTGTTTTCATTTCTATTCTCATACAGGGTCAGATGAGGATTTATGCAAACAACAGCCAGGTCAAGTTACTCACAAAGCAAAAATTTATAACTATGCCGACCACTTCTCCCTCCTCCATTCAACAAAGAAAATAGAACGACACATCTGAAAAGTGGATGGACATTCATGAAGAACATTTTCCGGTCTGCCTTACATCCTAATGAACACAAAAATCTTGTATCACGAGTTCTCGGATTGGACATTTTGTGTACTCCAGAAATATGTGAATTCCGGTAGGCTTTGGCTCCACTTTGTCGGAAGGAAACCGACAAATCGGAGACAGTTCAACGTTCAGCCACAAAGAAGATAGCTGGGAAACGAGGGAAAAGCTGTGAACCACGAATCAGAGATCTGAACCCTTTCTCCCTCAAGCGTAGGAAGATGAAAGGATAATTGATAGAGACGTTTACGATCGTGAAGGGCATATCAGGCTTGAGGTTTAATGACCCGTTCTCTTTGGTTTCGTATGGAGGCACTCGGGGGCATAACCTGCATCTGCAGAGAAACCATTCCAGGCTGCGATTGAGGGCAATCTTTTTCAACAGAGTGATTCCGTTGTGTAGTCTGTTGCCGAAGGCAGTATTAAGCTGCAACACTGTAAATGGTTTCGACAAGCAATAAACGAGTGTCAGATAGTGGGTTAGCCCCGAGGTAAGCTTTCAGTTACTATCTATAGCCTAACCTCAAAGAATGTGGTGCAGTACTATCTCACTCAACAACAGCATCACCTCCGTGACGTCTAGTCACTGAAAACACCGTTAAGTCACTTGAGCATACCGGTTGCAGTCACCAAGCGGTACTTTTCAGAACAGGTCTGGACTGTCGGTAAAATTATTTCGCTGGCATCCTTGTGCATAAAACCGAGGGAAATCAAACGCCTCAGAGCCACCAATTTCTTGCGCAACGATCACGACGAGACTGTACCTTGACGTGGTATGATGGCTTGTGCACCGCTATGACCCTGCGAGCTACACAGGATGGCTTCTCACAGCCGTAGATCCAATCATGCCTGGAAGGTCAATGGATAGAGGTCAGACGAAGTCCAGTCTCCTGGTCCTCCAGGTTGAGGGTTCGGCTTGAGTTGGCGTTTTAGTCTTTAAAACATGTTGGAGAAATAACTGATCCAAGTTAATGGGCCTCCAATCCGCCTTAACCGCTCCCTTGCAGTTAGGTTCTTGTCAAAACTAAACGCTTTGGTTGAGAACCCTAATCGTCCTCCTGCTTAGTGGCTGGACACCCTGGCAGTACCCATCCATAAAGCTCCAAGGAACACACAAACAAAAAATAATTTCATACTGCATCGGTCGTCGCGCAGGATAATCAGGACCGCGCTGCCCGTTGCATCGAGTGGGGTGAGTAGTGATAAGTGGGCTACTGCTCAGATATCCCAACCTTGGTTTAACTCTTTATTTTCCGTACCCAACCCTATCCCTTAACCCCTTCTTCTGACCCGTGATATTCCCTCAGACAATTTGGTCGTCACTCGCCAAAGGTCTTCGCCAAATAGCACTGTAACTCGTCTTCCCGTAAATAAAGTGCAGATTCTGAAGCCTCGTCAACCTCTCAATCTGGGGGCTTTCAAAGTGAGGACTCTTATGCAAGTGGGTCAACAGGCGTGTCTTGCG